AGCGGTGCAAGCAACGGCGATGGCGGTGCTCCGGTGGCTGCGGTGGACAAAAGGAGCAATCAACTGGTCATAGAGCATCACGGGAACAAGGTGAAGCTGGAGGTACACTGAGCAAGAGCAACGGCTCACCGGAGAGCGCTGGCCACGGTGATGCGGACTCGACGGCGGTACTGCCGGCCGCGGGGAAGAAAGCGACGCACAGCGAGTTCCCAGCGAAGTCAGGCACCAAGACTCGGTGAACTGGGTTCGCAAGGAGAAGACGGAGCTAGGACAGGCTTTGTTGCGATGGTGGAGACGCTACGGCGGCGGCAAAAGCTCAACGGAGCTATGGCGGTGGCGACGGGAAAAGCAGAGCAAGGAAACAGGGACGAACGACGACGGTTTAGGCTAAATAGCGCGGCTCAGAAGCAAGAAGAAGCCACAAAGGAGCCTTCCCCATGCCAGCGCGATGCCAAAGATGGCCACGCGCACGCCTGGAAGCAGCAAGAAGCTCGCCGGCGGTGTAGCTTAAGCGACGAGCACTGTTCACCATATTTATAGAATTGGCATCCGATTTGAAACTCAAATTACTCCCAAATTTATGTAACAACTCAAAAATCTCCAAAAATAAAAGTTGTTCAAAATCAAAAGTTCTACAACTTTGCTTTTATAACCACCCCCTAATTTGGTCTATATTTTGAAATGCAAATTTGAATTCAAAAAGGGGACATTTAAAGAATTACGCCTTTTCAGATTACTTCAATTTTTATAAAACAACTTTGAAAACTCCAAAACCCAACTTTGTACAACTCAACAAGCTCTACACTTTTGCTTTAAAGCTCAACCCCAAAATGTGCTTAAATTTTGAAATGGGTTTTTTGGGTAAAACTAATTGCTGGAAATCAGGGTTTTCGGAAATCCAAATCCAAACAAAACTTTGAACTCGATCCAAACCATACAAGGCAACACATATAACATAATTGTAAACTTGTTTTAGTGTATGCATATCAAAGTTTTCACTAATACGAAATGATGTACAATGCATATGATGACATGGCAGGTTTTAGTATTTAAAACACCCGGGGTGTTACACCTTCTGGGCTGAGGCACTTGCTATAGCCAGTTATATGCTTAATCGGCGCCCCTCTTATTCTGTTGGCAACAAAATCCTGTACCAGCTCCTTCATGGCACTTTCCCTGAGTACTCCCACCTTTGTGTGTTTTGCTGTCTATGTTATCCTAACCTCAGTGCTACAACTCCCCACAAACTTGCGCCTCATTCCGCACCTTGCATTTTTTGGATATCCATCTAACTACAAGGGTTACCGGTGCCTTGACATCCTTTCATGACGACTTATCATCTCCTGACATGTCGTGTTTGATGACTCGGTTTTTTCGTACACTGCTACACAATATGGTGCATCTTCACTTGACTTTCTATTGCAGGAAACTTCTTCTACTGTGTCGGTTGCTCCACCTTCGGGTGTCGAGCAGCCACCCTCCTCTTCAGCCGCTCCTATGCCTGCTCCCTTCGTCAGCGAGGACGAGCAGCTCGACCCAGCAATCCTCTATGCTGGCCCCTCCACCTACCCGGCTACGTCCCATCGGCTACCCCTACACCTGTGGATAGGGGCCCTATCGCCACACCGCCGCCGGGCGGGTTGCCTGCTGCTTCGTGCCCAGGCGAGTTGGGACAATTTGGTCTCACCTACCAGCGGCAACCTTGACCGGCCCCCCACGACTGCGATGATGATAGCGCTAACTTCGGCGCTAATGGAGCCATCCTCCTCTGCCAACCCGGTGCCCATGGTGCCGTCCCCGGCGCAGAACGTGCAACCAACGCCACCACCTCCCTCATGTCCGGTGACGCGGTCTTAGACCGGTAGCCTGCATCCCGTGGAGCGCCTCAACCTCTCCGCCACAACCGCCTTGCCTATTCCAGCGAACTATCATAGCACCCTTGTCGATCCCAACTGGCGTGCTACGATGGCCGATGAGTACAATGTTCTCATCACTAATAGCACCTAGCGCCTTGTGCCTCGACCACTCGGTGCCAATGTGGTCACTGGCAAATGGCTGTTCAGGCATAGGTACCCCTCCGACGGCTCCCTCACCTGGCAAAAGGAATGTTGGGTGGTCTATGGTTTGTCATAGCAGGCCGGTGTCGACTACGATGAGACGTTTAGTCCGGTTGTCAAACTGGTGACGATCCGCATTGTCCTCAGCATCGCCGCCTTGCGTGCCTGGCTCATCCGTCAGCTGGACATGAAGAACGCCTTCCTCCACAGCCACCTCAAGGAGACTCAGCCATCCGGCTTTGTCGACGCCGCCAAACCTGACTATGTTTATCTCCTACAGAAGTCCTTGTACGGGCTCAAGCTGGCACCTAGGGCCTGGAACCTGCGCTTCGCCACGTACATCTACAGCATGGGCTTCACTACGTCCAAGTCCGACGCATCTCTGTTTATCTACAAAGACAGAGATCGCGTCGCATACCTTCTCCTCTACGTCGACGACATCATTCTCACAACGTCGTCCCATGAGTTGCCACAGCTCATCACGGCACACCTTCACTCCTAGTTTGCCACGACAGATCTTGGTGACCTTCACCACTTCCTCGGCATCTCCATGACGCGTGACAGCTCGGGGATGTTCTTGTCGCAGCGTCGATCAGTACGCCATCGACCTTCTCTGGTGGGCTGGCATGTCTGAATGCCATCCCACTACCATGCCCGTGGACGCGCGGAACAAGCTGTCTGCCACCACAGTTGCCCCGGTGGCTGACCCCTCCGAGTACCGGAGTCTCGCCGGTGCCCTCCAGTATCTCACTCTGACATGGCCTGATTTGGCATATGCTGTCCAGCAGGTGTGCTTGTTCATGCATGATCCCCGCGAGCCTCACCTCATGTTGATCAAGCGCATTCTCCGATACATCAAGGGCTCCCCCTCCGCTGGTCTTCACCTAGGCACCGGACCCGTTGTCCAGCTCACTGCCTACTCTGACGCTGACTAGGCGGGCTGCCTCAACACACGTCGCTCCACCTCCAGCTTCTGCATCTTCCTCGGCGACAACCTGGTGTCCTGGTCCACCAAACGACAGAACACTGTCTCTCGCTCCAGTGCTAAAGCGTAGTACCGTGCTATCGCCCATGCCATTGTTGAGTGTTGCGGCTATGCCAGTTTCTCCAGGAGCTCCATCTACTGCTTTCCTCCACCATGGTTGTCTTATGTGACAACGTCAGTGCTGTCTACATGATAGCCAACCCCGTTCATCACCGATGGACCAAGCACATTGAGATCGACATCCACTTCGTCTGCGAGAAGGTCGCGCTTGGTGAAGTTTGTGTCCAACATGTGCCGTCCTCGCATCATTTCACGGACATCATGACTAAGGGCCTGCATGTACAGTTATTCACTGATTTTTGGTCCAGTCTATGCGTCCGTGAACCTCTCGCTACGACTGCGGGGGTTGGTGTTAGATGTGTATATATTTAGGAGTCTAATTATAATTGTACTGAGCTCCTTGCGAGGTGTTAGATGTGTATATATATGAAAGTCACCCCTCCCTAATGGAGCGAGGTGTTCTCCCTATTACTTTCTACACTTTTGGATCCAAACAGGTATAGATAATAGATTAGTTAATTGTTAGCTAGACCTTTAGATAACAACTATCCCACTATCTAGACCAAATCAGATAATCAAGTATTAGCAACCTAACTATTATCAAATAGTAAATCCAAATAGGCCCTAAGTAGATGCTATTTAATTTAATAGGTAACAGAAAATTTCAGTTTTTACTATAAGCATTGTCACTCATAGGACCTATCTGCATTCATACAACGTCGACCTTTCTTCTAGTCCTGCCCCACCTGCTCTGCTCTACACTGTTGGCCCCGTTCGCTTCGCTGAAAAAAAAAGCACAAACACTATTCCGGCTGATTTGTTGTGAGAGAAACACACTGTTCCAGCTGAAAAAACAAGCTGACACTACTACAATAATCATTTCCAGGGATGGCTAAAGATCGTTTGTAGAGGCGGCTCAGCCAGCCGCCCCTACCATACCGTCTCTACAAATCATGCATTTGTAGGGGCGGTTCCGTAATCGCCTTTACAAATCGATTTGTGTAAGGCGGTTTGGTGTTATCACCGCCCCAGCAAATCGATTTCTGGGCGGCTTCTGCATCAACCGCCCTACGATATATTTTTTCAGTAAAAAATTTAAATTTACAATTCAAATTCGACCGGAACATATATTTTTCATGCACAATTCTATCATGACTTATCTTGTTCTACGATTGTACTGAAACTCAAATCTCTACAACATGAGTATTGGTCCAACTACAATGAACATATTACTTAATGCTGACTTGTTAGATGAGAAACTCTACAACAACAGTATTGGTCCGACCGATCATAAAATGCTATCATGTTGCCTAGATAGCTAAAGATGTTAATGACTAAACAACAATGCAAAGAATCAGATTGTTACTACTACTTATGTTGTTTGATTGTGATCATCCTAGCGTTGCATCTTCACTCCTAAAGCTGAAGCATGTTGCATCCAAAGACACCAATCGGGCTTTTCGGCATGAAGGGCTTCCATTGATGTGCCTTCTTCTTCACCACCTTTGCTCTTTGTGACTCATAGCATCTAGCAATCATCTCGGAAATGGAAGATGCAAGCTTCACACTTTGAGAAATTGTGTAAATGGCAATGTTGCATTGATCGTTTTTTTGCGCAAGCTAAAAGACACTCACCTTATATTTGGGACTTGAGATCTTTGAAAGAACACTTCGCATAAAGCCAGCAGTCTAATTCTCGAAATCATTTGCTAGGGCCGAGGCCGCAGACAATCTCAGATGGTCCGAATGACAAGAATGTAGAGCTCAGTAAATCCATAGGATATGAGATGTTTCATTTGGTACACACAAACATAGTGCTATCGGCAATGCGGTGTAAGTGAATTGAGCAGACGATGAAACATCATGGGTAAGGTCAATCGAACCTTTGAGTGTGCCAATTATGATCTCAAGACTGCCGTGAGGCTAGTGCAAAACTCGGTGGCTTCCCATCCTTTGAACTTGTCCAGAAGTAGGCGATGAAAGTGAGCGGGGTCACACTGCATTCTCCATTTTAGGGTTTTCATCACAAGACCCTCCATCCTCCCAATAGTCTTTCCTTCAAACTCAAATTTCCCATCGCAGACCTATCATGCAAGCATCAAATTTTAACAATTTCATCAACCAATCGGTGAACAATTATTCGATACCACAATGCTGTAATTTCTCCTTCACCCACCGAAGGTCCACGGGAAGAGGGACCACAGTCTCCTCCATCTTGGCAGCAAGAGATAGGTAAGCAATCGACAACAAGCTGTTGCATCCAAGGGTTATCGTGCTACAACAACAAGAACAAACAAAATAGGAAAAAAAAACACATCCATTAGTTAGAGATTAATTGGACACGACAAGCGGACAACCAATGTACATGCTCAGATTCTTCTTTGGGAGCTCATACAAGGAGAGGAATCTATCCGGGTAATTCACAGCAAGGTAAAAATTGAGTGGTGGTCCATTAGAAATTTTAACAATTGGTTCTTGCATTTCCTCGCCTCGAGAGTCTGAGAGGGAATATGTAATTGTTTTGGCATCATTTTTTTTCTTTTAGCATGGCCGCCTTTCCCTAGACTACACTATAGAGGGAGTATGAATTTTTCTCAATATGCAATGCTAGCCTTGGGAATTGGGATGTCACACCAATTAATTAACGCGATTCCGCATATGGGCACTCAAATACCACCATTCCATTGCTATTCGTCTATTGTATAATACTAGAACACAAGTGAAGATATTTAATTTGCACTTTACAATCGATTAATCGTGATACACAACTGAACCATTAAATGGGAACTTTGACTAAGTTGGTAGTTGTTAGAACTTGAGTTTCCATATTTGTCGTACTACGCTTTTTGCTTCTCCTTTGCCTTCAACCATGAACATGGGACCAGAAAACTTCATGAAATACGTACTCAAGAAGTGCATCAAACCGATTCACCTCTATATTAATTACCACCGAAGACAACACATAACTTTAGCTTGTTATCGACCTTCGCAGAAACAAGACCGTGTCCGTTGAAAGAATGGAGCAACAAAATTCACGACCTACTAAACTTGTTGCAAATATAACACAACTTTGAAGTGCAAATACCTATACGCCAATTGTACTAAGTTTAGAGAACACGGTAGTAAAATCAATGAAATGCAAGAACCAATTGTACTAAGTTTAGAAAGCACGGTAGTAAAATCAATGAAATGCAACTACCTTCCTAAAATAACTCGATTTTGTCCACTAGAAAAAGGAATGAAATGCAAGAACCAATAAATTCAAGAGATTTCTTTTATTTCACCTTGCAAATCCAATCCATGGCGTCTCTCCTCCAAGAGGACTCCAATCCGCCTCGCTCCAGCCTCTCTGCATAGCCCTCTTGAGGTTGGTGGTCCATCTCCTTCTCCGCCCACGCCGACACGGCCTCATCGGTGTCCACGGGGAACATGGCGCCAGCGGCGGAGTCCAAGCCATCAAGGCCGCTCCCCACCTCTAGCAGCTCGTCGCAGCAGCTGATCCTCGCCGCCGCACCCGCTTGCCAGATTCAGGCTCGTCCTCGCCGGATCAGGCTTCTCCTCGCCGGATCTGGTGGTGGCCACTCGGATCTGGGCTGGTCCTCGCCGGATCTGGTGGTGGCCACCACCATGTGCTTCATGCGGCCTCCAGCAGCGCGCCGGAGGAGAGAAGGTGAAGGGGACCGTGCCACCAAGTCCCGCCACCACTGGAGCTCGACGGGAGGCTGTGCCACCGACCCACGGCACTGAGCTCCGCCACCGTGCCTCCGCTGGGGTGTGGGGATAGGGTCCCACGCGCCGCCGGCGCAAGAGGAGGGGGACGGGCCCCCGCGCGACTGTCGGTGCTGGAGGAGGGCACCGAGCCCCGCGCGACCGCCGGGAGGCCGCGCCCCAAAACCCCCGCCACCCTAGGGTGCGCCGCCGAGTACCGCCGCGTGGAGAAGAGGGGGGTCCGACGCCGTGCGCCTCCGCTAGAGAGGGAGGTCCCATCACCGCGTGGGGGAGAGACGGAGGGGCTCGGAGGAGAGGGAGGGAGGGTGCGCCGCGTGGGCGGGCGAGAAGATGGAGGGGCGGGCAGACATCGAGACAAAGAGAGATGAGGGCAGCAGATATTTTGGATGGACGACTTAGTTACTGTACGTGGGGTATTTGTAGGGGTGGCTCAATCACCAGCCACCCCTACAAATAGAAACACCGGGGGCGGCTGGTGAGTGAGCCGCCCCTACAAATCCTACCCATTTGTAGGGGCGGCTCGTATCACCAGCTGCCCCTACTATTTTATTTGTAGGGGCGGCTGGTCTCGTAGATCCCGAGCACGTCACTGTAGGGGCGGCTCCATCACCAGCCGCCCCTAAAAAAATTTGTCCCGTTGCTACAAACCATTTTTCACGTAGTGTGAAAAAGACGGATTATAAGATAAGCGAACATAACCATTATATATTTAGACTAGAATGACTCCGCCTCCAAACCTCTTGGATTGCCTCCAAGGAACGCTATGGGTCTTCAATTATGGAAGTTTCCTAAACACATACTCTAATCCGCCAAAAGAATCTCGTCGATGACAACAGGAAGTGTTATCATCAGTCACCTAAGCAGCAGGAAATCTATGTTGACCTACTCCAACGCCTCACCATTGTTATCTTCGTCTAGTTAGTAAAGAGATTGGGAACAAAGTGGGTGTCGTACTACGATGATGAACCAAGTTGGTGGGCATGTAGACAACACTGATGTTACCGCGATAGACAGTGGTCGCTCTTACACTCAAGGCGTGGAGCTCCTGATGAAGCCAGCAATAATTACTGGGGCACTCCCATGTACAAGGACTCCAGGACCAATCGGCAGGTGGAGACAAAAATTAAAAACAAAAACCTCATTTTTCCCACCACTCGACGATCGTTTCATCGACACGGACTACCAAGGGCGCATTTGGGAGGGCTCGGTAGCGCATACCCCCAACGGAGACTGATTTTCTGGTTTCTCCACCGTACAAGGAAAACAGATCCGGCTCCCTCGCATTGTCGACAAAAACAGCACCTCCTCCCATGTGCATTTGGTGCGGCTCCGGCAGCTCAGGTACGGAAGCAGGAGCCCTCATGGGAGCCGTGTTGGAGTTGTACGTCGATGAAGTTCGATCTTCCACTGCTGAACTATGACACGCGGTTCTCGCTATGGCAAGTCAAGATGCGGGGGATTCTGGCGCAGACTCATGACTATGATGAGGCGCTGGATAGTTTCGGAAAGAGGAAGGCCGAGTGGACTCCAGAAGAGATCCGCAAGGATCAGAAGGCGCTCGCCCTAATTCAATTGCATCTTCATAATGATATTTTGCGAGAGTGTGCGAAGAGAAAACTGCTGCTGCAGAACTATGGTTGGCTCGGAATCGATCTCAGTATGTCCAAGGATCTAACCAAGAAGATGCGAGATGAAGATGAAGCTATTCACTCGAAGATGAAGGAGGACGATTCAGTGATGAGCCACATCGCTGAATTCAAGAAGATCGTCGCCGACCTAGTGTCAATGGAGGTGAAGTATGATGATGAGGACTTAGGTCTTCTACTGCTATGTTCTTTGCCAAATTCGTATGCAAATTTTCGTGACACCATACTCTTGAGTCATGATGAACTAACCCTAAAGGAAGTTTATGAGGCTCTCCAGTCTAGGGAGAAGATGAGAGGCATGGTGCAGAATGACGGGACGTCGTCCTCCAAGGGCGATGCTTTGCATGTGAGAGGCAGAACTGAAAACAGATCCTCCAATGATGGCAATGATGGTAGAAAGAACTACGAAAGGAGAGAGACCGTTCAAAGTCCAAGCCGCATGGTAATAAAAAAGTTCGTGTTTATTGCAAGTCGACAAATCATAATGTTGAGGATTGCGAGAAAAAAGCACGAGAATAAGGAGAAGAGGAAAAACAAGTTGGGTGGTAAGGTCTCTTCTTCTTGCTGCTGCTTGCGCGTCGATGATGATTCCGGAGATTATGTCGGTAGTATTTCTTGGTTGTGTTCTTTGGTCATGATGAATGGATTCTCGATTCCACATGTTCGTTTCATATTTGCACTAATGTAAATTGGTTTAGCTCGTATAAGCTTTGTGCGAGAAAGGGGATGTTGTGCGGATGGGAGATGATAACCCGTGTGACATTGTGGGGATTGGATCGATTCAGATCAAGACCGATGATGGCATGACACTTATTTGCTTTGAAAAATGTCGGTATATACCGGGGATGTCCAGAAATCTTATCTCATTGAGCACGCTTGATGCAGAAGGTTACAAATATTCCGGTTCAGATGGCGTTCTAAAGGTATCAAAAGGTTCTCTTGTTTGCTTGAAAGGTGATCTTAATTCTGCAAAGGTATATGTCCTTAGAGGTGTACTACTACACGGTTCGATTCCATTGCTGTGCTGCTGCTGTTACTAATGATGAACCTAGTAAAACTAACCTTTGGCATATGCGTTTGGGACATATGAGTCACCATGGTATGGCGAGAATTGATGAAGAGAAACTCTTTGGATGGTCGCACTTCGAGTAAAATAAAGTTTTGTGAGCATTGTATTTTCGGGAAGCATAAAAGGGTACATTTCAACATACATTCACACCACTAAAGGTACTCTTGATTATGTTCATGCTTTGATTTATGGGGTCCTTCCGTAAGTCCTCACTTGGTGGTGCTCGTTACATGCTTACAATTATTGATGATTACTCTAGAAGGGTTTGGCCTTATTTTACAAAGCAGAAAGATGATACTTTTCTTTCGCTTTTAAGAACCGGAAAGTAATGATAGAAAGGCAAACCGAAAGGAAGGTAAAATTGCTTCGTCTCGATAATGGTGGAGAATTTTGTTCGCGTGAATTTAATGATTATTGCAGATCGGAAGGCATTGTTAGGCATCACACCATACCTCATACTCCACAGCAGAATGTGTGGCGAACGCGTAAACAGAACCATCATGTCCAAGGCCCGTTGCATCTTTGTCTAATGCCGGGATGAGCAAGCGTTTTTTGGGTTGAAGCGCGCTATACCGCTGTTACTTGATAAACAGTGTCGCCTTCTATTCCACTAAATAAAAGAACTCCCATTGAGGTATGGTGCGCATGCGCTGGCGATAATTCACAGTTGAAAGTTTTTGGATGCATCGCTTATGCTCATGTTGACAATGGAAAATTAGAGCCTAGAGCTGTTAAGTGTCTTTTCCTTGGTTATAGTCGGGAGTCAAAGG